GCTTTTCTATATGTCCTGGCTCAGGGCCCAACTGCGGTACTATCCCATCAGTTCCCCTGGAGAATCCCCCTCCCCCCCCCCCGCCGTCCAAATCCCAAACCCCCCCCCCCCCCCCCCCCCCCCGCCCCCCTATTCCTTCCTCCTGTTGTGGTCCTCTGATGTCGGTATCCCTTGAACCCTGGGCCCTCTTCTTTTCGTTTCCGAATTCATCTCCGCCTCCATGGGGTTGCCAAAGCCTCGCTTGCTTTTACCCTGCTCTGCTCATCTCCATCCTAAGTGTACTTGGCGCTCTTTTTTTTTTTTAAACAAAAGGCTCCAATCTATTGGTGGGGAGTGGCACCTGCTGGAAAACGGGTCCAGCGTCCCAGTATACATCACCAAAACTGAGCTTGATTGTGTCGACCTGCCAGAATTGATTGCCCTTGTCACGAGGGGATTGACTGAGCAGGTAGTGGAGTATATGCCACTTGCAAATAGGAGTCTAGCCGTAACCAAGGACCCCATTGTCGAACCACCTCTTCAGCCCTAATCAGGCCACCAGAAACAACACGCCGCCCTAGTGGTTCCACGCGTCCTTTCCAAAAGTAGACCAGAGATTTGTAATCCGGCTGTCGGCTCAGACCCTGTCTGTAATCTTCTGCGTGCTCCATCGTAGCCAGGAGCTTGTGCCGTGCCCTGGGGGCACCTGGGCATGACCTTGGGTTCTTTTTTTTTTTTTTTAAATCAGGATTTCTGCTAGGGAGAGGGCATGGAGAGGAAAACGGTCAGGAAAATGTGTGGGGTGGCGAAGTGGAAAGGAGGGTTCAATGTTAGTCCAGTCCCTGAACACCAAACGGTAATCCCTTATACCCTCCAAATTCTGATCACCATCGGGCTTGTCCCCACTCCATTCTACTTCTGCTACCCACCCCCCCTGGTCCCCTCCCAACCTATGTTGCACGCCCGCCCGCGGCCGGGGGGTCCGAATCGGCCGCGGCCTCGGCCTCTGGCCGAATCGGCTCGGTTCGGCCTAGGCCGACCAGCCGAGTTGCGTGCAAGATTTTTTTTTTTTTTTATGCATGAAAAAAAAAAATGGGCGTGTAGGGCTAAAAAAACCCTACACGCCCATATTTGTTTTGGGGGCATTATTGTTTGCGTAACAAAAAATAAAAACAGAAAAAAGAAAAAGAAAAAAAAAACTCTTCGAAACCCCGTGCAAGTATGTGTGTGTGTGTGTGTGTGTGTGTGTGTGTGTGTGTGTGTGTGTGAGTG